AACGCTTTGAGCGATAACTTGTCCTTGTTGGAGAAGTTGATCAACGATTTGACCACGAGCATCCGAAGCCATGGAGCCAGCAACACAGGCGAAGAAGATAAGGGTGAGAGCAGCGTTCATTTTTCTAACTTTTTCTAATTGAGTAATTGATGGTAGGAAGGGAAGAATGATGAGTGAAGTTACAACGAAAATCCGAGTGCTTTTATACTCAAATTTTCTGTCACCACCTCCCACATACAGATAAGATGATAGTCGACTATATTCCTTTGAAATAACACAAAAACATTTTCATATGTTTTATTTTCTCACTGAAATTGATTAATATTTCAAGGTTTTACTCGTCGCTCAGATAAACAGTCTTCGATTTAAGAGCATTGCCGACGACCTACATAAGAAAAACAAACGCAGCAGTTCGTCCGCGTAATGCGTCATTTTCTTCGCAAGCCATGAAATCTCGTAAGCGACAAAATACTCGTATCCTTATTGTGTACAAACATTTTCAACTCCATCAGATATACCGATATAAAGACATGAAGCATTTCCAAAGGGTTGCTTATTCAAATTTAATTAAATTGTTTTTGTTTACTCGTCAATGAGCAAATAATCGTTGAGTGTATTAACGCCAATTGTTTTTATTCCCATTACTAGACAAAATCAATAATGACGACAAAGAAATATCTATTTAATCGAGTCATTCAATGATAGAAAAGAATTTTCTTATTTTTTCGAATCATTTTTCTTTTTCTCATAGAGTTCTATTATTAAAAGTTAATCTGTGACCTTGTTATTATAAAAATTGTCATACTGAAATATTGCTGGAAGATATTTAATAAGCAACGATGAGAAAATGTGTTGAATATATGAAGGAATATTTAAATAATCGTACGCATGCGAATTATCGGATAATATATTCACAACTAACATTTTTGCTTACAATCGTTGAATTGTTCTTCTACTCTTTTGTATATATGTAACGTATTTGAGTCAATTATGAGTTTCATGTAATGTTATTAACAAAAATTCCATTATTATTAATAACATTTTAGATTTGAATGTTCGAGAATTTGTTCTATTGTTCCGGATTTTCTCGGTTATTTTTCATGGTAAACCATGCTTGATCGGGTTTTATTTTTTTCTTCTTTGCCTGACTTTATTTCCCTTCACTGTTGTACAACGAGAATTCAAATAGACAAAGCAACCGTCACGTAGCGAATGAGTGCAACATGATGGTTAGCATTTTATCTTGTTCGCAGTTTTTATAAGATGTCAGATGATTTGTATTTTCTCCGGACTTATGTAAACAAGCCGATGCTACATATTTAGATTCTGTGCCGTGTCAGTCTCTAATTCGATTGATAAATAACGAAATGCGCTTACTATGATTGTGAATTGTTTTACCATCTTCTACTGACATGACAAACATGACAGAAAATTTCATTTCTTTTGATGAATATATTTTAGAATTAAATAAATACGGAAGCATCCGATTGTTCTGTGTACTGCAAAAACTGAGTCGATTTATATATGTTGTGAATAATACTGAGAAAAACAGATTTGCTTTTTGAAAAGATCCCTGTCCCCCTCGTCAGGGATGGTCTGGTCAATAATGACAATTTTTTCGATAACTCAGCCATTTCTTGACGGATCCCTCTCATCTTCGAACTCAACTGAGATATTGATGAGATCCTTCTGTGTACAAAATATCATGACAATCGGATCAGCCTTTCAGGAGCTATCGCATAAACGGCCGGACACACTGACCGATTCTATAGTGTACTCACTTTTGTTTTTTGAGTACACAAAAAGGCATTCAGAAATATTATCATGCTTTATCATGAAACTAGTAGAAATAATGTAATTGCTCATTTTTATTTCGACGCAAGCTAATCGTTTGGATTCTTCGATTTAACAGTCACACCATTTACTCATTAGTATATTATACGACTGTCAGAATGAAAATATGCTGTTTCATAGGCTCATTCTCCCTGTTGTGACTCATGTCCTTCAGTGAGATGCGGAGAATAATAATATCGAGTTTCAGTTCCAAGGCCTTTTTCTTGTGAAGGATAGCACTATGAGTCTATTGTTGAAGCAAAGATCACTCAGTTCTCTCTCTCTTTCTCTCTCGATATATATTTACATTAATAGCGATACTTCCGACGAAAATTCACAAATATTGCTTTATTTTCTCAAATCTCAAATCTAAGAAAATAGAAAAACATTTTTCCTATGCATTCGTTGATCATCTCGTTGTGGACAAACAAAAACACGCTCGGTATGCACAGAAAAAACCACTGCTTATTTGTATGAACGGAAATGAAAATCGCTGGCAGGATCATAAACATGCCACTACTCCAAAAAATATTTTGCCAAATACGAAGACAGTTATTTCAGCTTATGTTTTATTCTGTGTGATTTACCACATACTTCTTTTTTCTAAATCAAATAAATTTATTTAAACACTTTTCCTGTTTCAGGCTAACATTAACGAGTGAGCTGTTTCCGTCTCACGAGAATATAATTTCTGCTTTGCCCTTTCTAGTTACATCGAGCTAACAGTTGTTTTCTTTTTCATGTAAAAAATTAACTAATTTCTGCTTGATTCGGATTGGCGAATTTCGATCTTGTTCTCAAACACGATGTCCAGTATTTAGAAACAATTAACATTTGAACTTGACGATATTTAAAATTATATTTATTGTCTCTTAAGCGAACCAATACATACATGAAATATTTTACAAACGTTATTTTTACAGTTTCAATGTATTTTGCTGGGCGCTACGAAATACAAGCGCCATATAAATATAAAGTCAATTATGTTTTGTTGGATGATTGTCCGGTTGTGATCGTGTAGTGATAATTGTTTTAGTTGTACTTGCTAGGCGACGGTTTGCATCTTCAGCTTCAAGCTAAAATAAGAATAAAATAATAATTCAAGTGAGATTGGAGAATTTATAATCGTACTTGAACAACTTTTTCAGCAATTTCCCCCATTTTTGAATTGGTTTTAGCTTGCGCTTCTTTAAGCACGTTCTATAAAATAAGAGAGAATAGAAAATTAGATGAGATTAGTTTTGTACCATCTTCAATCGATTGGCTTCTTCATTAATTGCATCAATACGTTTACGTGCTGATTCAAGAATTTGCTCCTGACGTAGATTTAAATCCTTTTCTAGATCAACTAATTTTGTTGCTTTTTCTTGATCGAGTTCATTTATGAATCTTTAACGAAATTCAAATAGAGAGAGAGAGAGAGGAAAAGCATAATTTCCTATATCAAATATACAATTTGTTTTTGTTACTTACAACATAAGTTTACGTTTGTATTCATCTTCAAGTTTATTACTTTCCTTTTGAGCCTCGTCGAGTAGTTGCTGCTGTTGAGTCTGTATTAAATGAATAACTTTATCAATGCTACTTTTAACGGCTTCCGATATTTCTTGTGTACGTTGTCGAGAATATTCATCAATTTGTAAATGTGTTGAACCTAAAAGGACAATAAGAAATTTTTTTGTTTTTGAACAAGTCAAAAATTCATCTTACCTAATTTAGCCATCAATGCATTGATCTTATGATTGGAAGCATTTGTTATCGGTTTCGATTGCGTTTGAGTACTCACAACCGATTTAACTTCAATATCTTCATAAACTACCTTATGTACAGACGAAGAAGAATTCGATTTTTTTTCCGGATGATCAGAACGTCCAGTAAGTGCATGAATTATTGCAGACATTAGTTCAGTCGAAAAATAGAATATTTACTCTTGTGTCAACTATATATAGAGTTTCTTCTTATTTCTCCGGATAATGTTTTTTTGTGCGAGCAGAGGGCCAACTAATAATTGCGTTGTGTCGAACGAAGATCGTTTCTCATTTTTTTTCTTTCTGGTAAGAGAGAAACTCTATAGAAAATGTTTTTTTCTTGCTCATTCTCTCGTTGTGCTCACTTTTAAGCTGCACTGCGTGTGATCTAATTCTATTGATATGGCTAAAGTTCAACGGGAACGATTCGATAGTATGAGAAACGGAATTGTTGATTTAATATTGAGCAAAAACACCGTTTATTGCTACTCAGAAATAGAAGAATGGAGTTGCGAAGTTGATTCAGTCGAAGCAGACTTCGCCTGTGGTTAGAAAAACTATTTTCTAGAGAAGAAAATTGAATAAAAATCTTATTCTACAGGGATACTACTGAACTCTATTACGTAGAAAGGAAATGCAATTTTTTTTCTTGACTTGCAAACTGAAGCAGATACAAGAATTCTATATGCACAAAAGCAAGATTAGATTATGAGTCGAACTTTCTCTTTGATGAGAAATAAGATAGAAATATTTTTGCTGAAAGTAATGAATCATACGCTGACTGAAAAAGAATTGTATGCACACTATAGTCAAGTATGAATTATATGTTACTCGAAGAATCCCAAAGACTCGGAATTCGTTTCATATTTATATTGTTCTGTAAATTATATAGGTAGCTAGTTCACTGTTCACCGATGAATGCATATATCAACGAAAATTGGTTTACTAGCGCACAATGAACAATCACTTTCAGCTCTCTTGTTTTCCAATGTAATTTGAAAATTTTTTAGAATTTTCGACTGAGAAAGTATAAATCAGCAGTTTAGAGACGTGGAAATTAACGATGAGGTAAAATAAAAATTTGTAAAAAAAAGTGATTCTCGAATGGTTGAGCTCCATTTGCATGACTTTTTATCGGGAAATAGTAAATACTTCATTTTTTTTTCAAATTATTTTCGTTGCCATTTTGAATGTGGTTTAGCTCACTGGAGAAATTCTAAATTTAATTTTGGCGTTTACCAAATAAAATTAGAAGGGCATTTTGGATTTTATATCGTTAGTCTCAGTTTTGTAGATCTCTTGAAAATTGAATAAAAAACCAACGAATAATAAACTAATCTCTTTTTTTATCTATTCCACAAGAAGTCTAGAGTGAAGACTAGAAATACTGGCAATTATTGAAAATCAATAAGAGCCATTGGAAATCAATGAAATTGAAAAGCTTTATTTCTCATATCCGGTTGGCGCATAAGTTCTGAACGTTTTTGTTCTTTGGTTCAACAACAAATTTATTTTTCAACAAAGATATTCTCTTTTTGTTATATATGTGTTTCTTTCATCTCACTGCTATACATCTATTTCTGTTCTCTTAAGGTCAAACAAACATCGATATTGACCTTGATCTTTCCTGTTTACTACGTAATTAGGATGGAAAGCTCTTCCGCACCCGCCGTGGTCACCAGACTTCTCACCAACCGATTATCATCTGTTCCGACCTCTTCGTAGCTATTTGTGCAGTAACCACTATGAAGACTTCAATGAGCTAAAATCCGACCTGACTGCCTTTTTCGAATCAAAACCGGCTAGTTTGTACAGATATGGAATTGAACTATTGTCAGAAAGATGGGTGAATGTTGTTGAAAACAATGGCGATTATATTGCTGATTGATGTTTGTATATCTTAGTTGAAAAATAAATTTATTGTTGCACAAAAAATAAACGTGTAAAACTTATGCGCCAACTGGATATAATTACTGAAGATTTTCTTTAGAATTAAGCAATTTCCGTTGATTTGATAAGGCTTAAGATAAGCTTTGACAATCTTAATCTCATCCATTTGTCGTAATATTTCTGTTCTATTCTTATGCGTAGCGTAGATCAAAAGCATGTTTTATAATGAACATCATCTGCAGGGTCTTTGCTAATTGAGAAAGAGTGAATTATGAGATATGACAAATTGAGAATAATACTTTTCTTTATAGTTTTGTTTTTACATTTTAGTCATTCAACATCTAATGCCACATAGATCAATCTTTTGTTCTCAATGATCCTTAGACTTTCTATAAATAAGCATCACAGCTATTCCGAAACGTTTGATATAATAAGGTTCAAATTATTTTCCCATCTTTCTGTTACATTGTCAAAATTATTAATTAACTTGGAGTATTCTTTGTGAAAGTCAGTCTATCAGCAAAACATCAACGTGACATTTTTCTCTAATTGAACATATAATACACCAGCTGTCTTCAAGAACTTTATTTTGAGGATTTAATTTACTTTGATGAAAATTTTATTATTCTTCATAGTCAATAATAAAACATTTCAAAAGATCGAAAGTCTTAAAAAGCAACTGAAAATCGTAGAAACCCTATCGTGTCAGTAATTAGAAGCAATGAATCCCCTAAGCTATTGCTGTCTGGTATTTGAATTACACATCAGTCGATAGGTCTTGATGCGTACGGGGGTTTTCTAGAAAACGTATTCTAATTACTTTATGCTGATCAATCTAATCTATGTGTTTGTGGCCTTGTCGTATTCGAAAATCAGATCTTCTCAACTTGTGTCTATCAACTTTAAACATTAAAAATGAGAGTAGAAATCAAGGTAACATAATCGAAAGTAGCGAGAACATTCTACTGATTGACTCTTTTCTCAAAACAAAGAAATCTTCGATATTTCAGCTTTTTTTAATTACGTAAAACAACAAAAAGACACATCTACTTCCAAAAGTGTATGACATCAATGTGAAACATTTAAAAGAGATCGAATCGTCAGAAAAAGTGTTGAGTCGATGTTATAGAATTCGATTAGAGATTTCTATGATTCTAAAATATTGAGTTGACCATTTATCCAATGGAACTGGACGTTGGTTCTGTGATACTATTGTTTTATTTCGTATTTTCCCCTAGACTGAAAGGATAGGATCTAGAAACCGTAATTCATCTGTGTCTGTCTGTCTGTCTGTAACAAGGACACAAACGACCATTTCCATCGCACAAAGGACCATTCGTACGGTACAAAACGACCATTTCGGTGGTACAATTGACCATTTTTATGGCACTTAGGGCATTGTTACGGCACAAATCATGGCCGACTGCATGACATGGTTACGGGAAACAGTCCGCTCTGGATATGTGGTCAGTGGAGAGGGCAAGCTGATCCCCCTACGGAACTTTGAGATAGCCATCACGATATTTCTGAATCCTGTATTTTTGTGGCTATGTAAGACTGAACGTCTCCGCCACCTTAAGGGTCTTTGAGTCCCATTCTGTCCGTTTTTCGTCTTCACTTTTAATAATTTTACTTGAGACCTTTAATTTTCATGTAATTCTTACTTCAGTTTCACTTATTCCCGCCCCTTTTACAGGTGTGTTTAAAAATATCACCACCAGCTGCTGGCACAGATAACCGATTTTCTGTCCCGTCCATGCATTTCATCTCCTCAGCACTGGCAGTCTAGGGCCCAGTGAATCGACTTTCGATGTCGATGAACGCTACTTGTACTACCTGTTGAACACAATAAAACAGAAGGAAACTAATGAAAACAATAGAAAGCTCCGTAGAAATTAAGTTCTTTCTAATTACAAGTTGATCAATGCTATATCGATATTTCTCTAAACTTTCAATTGTTTAACAGTAAACATCAATTCTTTTCGATTAAAAAGTTTATAAACAAAAATCCACTGTTGTAACAAGACAATTTCATGTGCTCACACTGTTTTGTAGATGAAAAAAAAATAATGACAAATTAGTTTTTTTAAACAAATCGAACCTTGAATAGCTAAAAATAATCAAAATCGCGCAGAAGAATTCCAATTCTGACCTATATTTTATGTGATATACTTACAAACTGAATAGAACTATTTTACTCTCTCTCTACCTTCAACTGCTTTCGAGATACTCTCGGCGAAAAATCAAGCGAGTCAATCAGCTTATGGATTTACTATAAGTGTTACAAGCAGTATAGAGAAAATAGTTAATTATTTTTAATGTGCAACAATTTTTGTTACATAATTTCAATTTTAATCCTGAACCGATGATACTTCGATAATAAATGTCGATCGAAGTAATCCCATGTCCTCAAAATCGCTAAAAAATCGACGATTATATCGCGGGATATTAGGGCGATGTATCGTGAGATCTTGTCGCGATATAATCGTTCAAATTGACGACTTTTTTTCAATTTTTAATAAAAATTGAGACTAATTTACGGTTGTGTAATCAGCTTAAATTTCTCATGAAAAAAGGTACAAAAAGTTAGAGTTTTCAAGACCTTCGATATCTATAGAATGCGTCTCTCACTTTTCCGTTTGAGTTCCCTGAGAGCGACTGATATAGCTACATCTGCGCTACTTAAGAAATCGACGATTAATCGCGATGCACTTATATTACTTGAAAAATCGGTGATTAATCGTGATAGACCGGTGTTACTCAAAAAAGCGGCCACCAATCGCAATTAATTGCTAACATTTATCAAAGTCGCGATGTATCATCAAAACTTACGCGACTTCGACGACATGGTAACGTACAAAAAAGCTCGAGTCATTTTTATTATCAATGATACGTATTTTTGAAGCAAAGGTAAATTTTTCTTTCTTTCGTATTAGGATCTCGTTCAGCCGTGCTACTTATTGTATGGTTACGTAGCAAATGAAAAGTGACCGTACTAATGGGTATATGCATTACCTAGCTCGCTGTTAACATCTACTGTTCAATCAGAACTATCATTAATATAGCTGTACATGCCAGAAGGAATCTTTTTTTATAAAATTAGAAGAAAAACAAAACCACCGCATCATTGCTTATTGTGTCAGTTAAGTTTCGTTATTTTCTCATCATTGGTGCGCAATAATGATGCTATCTTCGTTTCAATGATTTTCACTGCTTGCGAGGTAGTTGATATGTCAAGGTAGACGAAACCCTAATCCTGTGACTATGAATATAAAAACATTATTTTTCTTGCTGATCATAGGATAACGTGGTGTGCTTGTTTTCTCTCATACCCAAATTAATCGTTGAGTAAAAACATATTTCTTGTATTTTTATTTATTTTTCTTTTCTAGCATCAACACAATTCGGCGAGCATAATGAATAATAGTATGAATACTACAATGTCAACAAATGGTAACAGTCCCATTTATGATTCCGGTGACAATGCTTGGATGTTAACAGCAACAACTTTAGTACTATTAATGACACCTGCATTGGCTTTTTTCTATGGTGGCATGGTCGATCGAAAGAATGTTTTAAATCAATTATTCTTATCGTTTATTTGCATGGGCATTGTTATTGTACAATGGGTTCTCTTTGGCTTTTCATTTGCATTTGGTCCACCTGTAAGCGAAGGTTTCGGTTCATTTGATTGGGCAGTATTACGTTTTGGTGAAATTCAAAATTCATACTATAGTCCGACGTATCCTCTATTAACATTTTGTATGTATCAAGCTACATTTGCAGTTATTACACCAGCCCTCATTTCTGGTGCTATAGTTGGTCGAATGAAAATGATTCCGTATATGATATTCGTATTGATTTGGTCAACGGTATGCTATGATCCGATGGCACATTGGGTTTGGGGCAGTAATGGATGGTTGAAAACATTGGGCGCGCTTGACTTTGCTGGTGGAACGGTTGTTCATATTTTTTCAGGCGTTTCAGGTCTTGTCGCATCGACTATACTAGGAAAACGACATGACTATGATCCGCGAAGTACCACTGCTCATAATCTACCGTTTACAATTTTAGGAACATGTCTATTATGGGTGGGTTGGAATGGATTTAATGCTGGTTCTGCTAATGCTGCTAGGTATATTACAAAGAATAACAGTAACAAATTAAGGAGACAGAAGAGCAACATTTTTGTTTTGTTCTAGCGGTATTGCAGCTCTTGCACTGGTAAATACAAATGTGGCTGCTGCTTCTGCATTGGTAACATGGGTAGTAATTGATGCTGCACGTGGTCATATAGCAGTTTCAGGTGCTTGTACAGGTTCTATTGTTGGTCTTGTAGCTATTACACCAGCATGTGGTTTTGTTCAACCTGGTTGGGGATTACTCATAGGTATTATCGGAGCCATCATTGTCTATTGTCTTCTGTTGCTTAAGCGATATATGCGATTTGATGATACATTAGATGTGGCTGTTGTTCACGGTTGCGGTGCGCATTGATTGTTCTTAAATGTTGTTTTTTCAAAAATATAATTAAAATTGTTTCTGTAGGTGGTATATCTGGTGCTTTCATGACAGGACTATTTGCTCAAAAAATGGTGAATCCCGGTGGTGCTGATGGAGCTTTTTATGGGCATCCTGCTCAACTTTGGTATCAAATTGCAGCCATTCTTACTGCAGTTGATAAATACCAAAACTGAGGCTTACTAGGCATGCATCGTTTTATTTATCATTTAGGCTTTTCATCTGTGTGTACAGCTGGAATTTTGTTTCCATTAGACTTAATCATAGGTATTCGATTAACGCATGAGGATGAACTCGCAGGGCTCGATATAGCAGGTATGAAGCTAGCATTTTCGAAATTTTCTCTCTCTCTTATACGACTTTTGACTGTATTCTTTACAAAGAATTTGAGATCTAAACACTGAAATTTTTGTCAGATATTGAAATTCATATAAGATGAGTGCTTGACTTTTTTTAAATTTCCTACCATGTATTATTACAGCTCATGGTGAAAATTGGAAAGTAGTTGCAACCCGTGCCGCTGCTGATCTTGTCGATAAAATGCGAGAGCAACGAGAACTTGCTGAAAAAGGAGGCAATCATCAAGAAGACAATGGTACTTTTGAATTATCATATAAACCTGCCAATGCCGATACGAGACCGATTATTATACAATATTCTACACTAGCTTCCCTGCCACGTTTAATGCCTGCTATGAATTTTAACCTCCATCAAGATCTACAATCGAGTGCTAATCCGTCGACGGAAAACAATCATAATGATTCAGAAAAGATACAGAGCGAACATGAAACGCATAACTTTTGACAAGTGCTAAACACTATGCAAATGCTATTTTATTTGTATTTAACAATTATTAAATAAAAAACGCTGCCATTCACTGTATATACTTGATTTAGATCAGGAGATAATGAATAGTAATGTACAGCAACTGTAAATAGCCGTGATGGTTGAACAATTTAAAATTTAGAGAGGCTCAAATCGTATCTATCGTTTGGATGAATAGATCGAAGTAATAAACTTATTTAAATTTCACTTAGTGTTGATGATGAAAACACAAATAAAAAATCTAGCCGGAAGAAAAGGCAGCAACTATCCTAAAAATATAAAATTTTGTAATCAAATCTGACGAAGAATACATGAGACGAAATTGATCATCATATGACAAAATTTTCGATACATCGACGACTTATTGCAGTAATATTCGTTTCGACTAAAAGAATATTATCTTGATCTTATTGGTGCATCGATAATATTTTGTTTTAACTGAAAAAAATAACTATATCTATCAATCTAAATAGATAGAGTAGATGAGTTTTAAGAAATGGTGAATTGTCCATAAAACATGACTTGATACGGTCGTGGAGTGGTTTACAACGAATGAAAAAATTAGTTCATTTTTTCTTCAAATAAAATAGATTGTTTACAAGAATCAATCAATACTGTTTTATATTTCTCGTATTGAATATTTGTCAAAACAATTTATTGAATAAAAATTAATGATAGCTATAACTATAAAGGTCAGGTCTGACCCATGATGTTTCAGACGATGAAAATTTTCCACATATTTTATATTCGATTTTTTCGAACATTCGATACGCAAATAAGTATTGCTGAAGATAAGCCTGTCTTTTTTTTCTAGTCAGCGATAACATAATATTGCTTATTAGAGACATCTGCTTTATCATTCTGCTGTATAATGTCTGTCCTTCCAGATAGATGGATGTACAAAGTTTTAAATATAATTAGCTATTCAAAATCTTCTTCAAGTTTTTGATAGCCAATCAATTAGTCATAAAAAAATGACTAATATCATTTGTGTTATTTCACATAATTGTTTCTAAATATTAAATAAGATGAATATTTCTACGTGTAATATAATCTATGTTGGCAATATTCAATCGATTGATGATAATACATTACGTGAATATTTTCAACGTTTCGGAGAAATCGAAGCGTTGTTTCATAATTGTTCACGTGCAGTCGATGAATGGCTGATTGATTATCGTTTTATACGTTTTTCATCGAATACCGATATCAGTATATTTTTAACTAATAAAATCGATCATACAATCGGTCGCATTCGTCTTGATATTCACACGTATGATGTAGCATTCAATGATGAAACACGTTTACTGTTAGATAGAAAAATATGTATTGCTCATACAAATCCTAAACTTGATCGAAATATTATTAAAAAGGTAGCTAATGAAATTCGATAAAGATAAAGACGATTTTTCTTTTTATTCTAAAGGCATTTACTCGGTACGGACGCATATTGAATTGTACATGTGTATCATCTGGTAATGGTGTCGAATATGTTTATATTGAATTCGATTCAATTAATTCAGTTCGATCTGTTTTATCGTCCAGTCAAAATCATTTTGTTGGTCGAACATCACTTGCAGTAAAACAAGCATTGCGACCATCACAAATCGGTGTCAACGTAGAAAATAATAATATGAAGCCGTTCAAATATTTGTATCCTGAATCAAGAAGTGATACAGAACACCGATTCTCTTCGAATGCATACTCATCAATGACTAATACACCTCCTGTTCAATGTTTAAACGTTTCACAAAATGAGAATTCATTAGAATCAAATACTTTAGCTACATCACCACAATCATTAAGGTATAAGAGAAAACTTAAATAACTGAATTTTATTATTCTAACTCATATTTCTTCAGCGAGATAAATTTTAATGATCAGTAATTGCTTTGTTCATACATAGAGGGCGCCTCTGTAAAACAAAAGTGTGTAACAAAAACCTTCAAACGCGCCATATGATAGATTTGTAAAGTATTCTGGAATGTAAACATGTATCACTCCTTATCTAAAGATAGAATTCATATATATTGAAAATTTCATAGAGACGATCTATGTTTTATCTTATTCTTTCTAGCCAACAACAATTAAAAGATCTTGAAGAAGAATGTGGTTTAATTATTCGAAAAGATTTCGATGAAATAACCTATCAAATCGACAAATATCTTCAAAAACAACAGCAAACATATAAAAAATTACGTTAACTAAATTCTTTCGCCAGTGTTTTTCTTGTATTTTTTTGCGTTAAAGATAAGTCAAATATAAATAGATTTTGTGTAATTACAACATTTTTATACGACGTAGGCATTCATCGATGAATTCCTGGAATGAAACTATATTCAAAATCATTAATTCATCATTCTATCAATATTTACCAGTGTTATCGATTGCGATTGTTTGACATTTCTTAGTTTCTCCTGTATAATATTCACGGTAATAGATTGAATGATAACTTCAAAAAAAAAAGAAAAACTCTTACGAGAATAAATCTACGCCGTTCTGATTCATCGTCTATGTCTAGAAGGCAATCGATTAAATCTTCCGGACATTGATCGTGTTCTTCTTGTGAGCTATCATCCTAAAAATATGACATCGTTGAACGAATCTATTTTTGTAGATACTTTTAAATTTACTTTAATATCATAAAGAAATCTTAATTGATCATCCAACCAAAATTCAACTTTTAATCGTTTACGTATCAATTGCATTTGCTGTTGAGGATATTTACTAGAATTAATTCGAGCACTATTGAGAGTTTTTATCAACGAATTCAATAGTTACGCAGTAAGATATTTTTCACGTTCATTGAATGTTTGTGATACAGATATTAAATCATTAAAGCGAACACAATTATTCAATGACGCTGTTGGTTTACTTGTTGTTGTCGTTGCTGATGGCGCCGATGTTTGCGTTGGATAAAACGGACTTCTCATATAGTTCATACTGAAAGAAATAATCTTAAATAAAAACACAACAAAAAAAGAATCGATCTTGGAACATGAATCAATCTATGAACATGTCAAACACTGACGCAGATATGTTTGAATAGTAGAGTAAGCACGTAGCTTGCTTGCGTACTACTGTCGGTTCATTATAATAAAAAAAGAAAAGAATTATGAGTCGCAAAAGAGGACGGTAAGATTGTATTATATGTACTCGAACTGAATACACAGACATAAATAGTACAATATGAGAACGAAAGACGAAGAAGAAAATAGTTACATATTATTTGCTTTTTTTCTTCTTCATATGTATTCTTCCTTTAGAAATCATAGGAATAAAAGCAGCTTTATAGGAAAGACATTAGCACATATGTGTATTCTCCTATTACATCGGTGTTATTTTTATTTTCGTTCTATCATAATTAAAGCTAATCATTCCTGATAAAGAATATTTTTATCAGCAAGAAGGATAACAGCATATTTTCTTTTTATTATTACTGCGTTATCTAGAGAAATTAATATTGATTGATCAGTACGTAAATTTCGTTTTCTTATTCGTTCGGATCATAAACAATGAAAGAAGAAAAAACAAAATGTCTAGTAGCGAAATTATCCGACTCTTTTTGAATCTAATTAAAGGGGTGCATGAACATGAAAGGTTTAATATAAAAATAGAATGATCGCCTAAACATGATATTTCTTTTATGTCATGTCTGTTTGAAGGTAATCGAAATTTCATTTGAAAGAGTCAGTACATTTGATGAATTACTTGTTTTGTAATTACGCAGGAAGAACATCTAGGTCATATAAGAAATAATCGAAAGTATTCTGTTTTCATGGACAAATTCGATCAATCAAAAAATCTAGTTTTGTTACAGATGAAGAAAATCATTCACGCGACGTATCGTATTTATGGAAGAACGAACGAAAGATTACGAAAATAGTCTTCTCTGCTATTATTCATCTTCACGTAAAGTCTATTATTCAAACACTTAAATCTTCGAGAGAGTGGTGCTACTTTTTGAAGAAGAAAAGAAATTTTCAAACTGCACATAAGAAAAGAAGTTCATTTGCCATAAAAAGATTGAAATCAGTCTTTCAATAGTACACAATTATTTTTCGAAAACTTTCTCTTGTGAAGGGTTGCGTAAGGTACGTGACGAATTTTTGAAATCTCTTGAGAAAACATCATGAAAAGTTCTGCATGTGGCTTCTGGATGAAAGATATTCATATGAATTATATCTATTTATTTTTCATTGGCTTAATTGAATTCAGATGATTGAATAGAAATAACAATAATTACTATTATCTATACGAAATCTGCGGAGTTCAGAACAACTATACATCACTATCGGAATACAATAGGAATGGGAACAATACCCATTCCTCGAACAAAATTAAGAAATCAACTTTATCAACATGACTTTAAATAATACTATCGAACAAATTCTAAGAATAACTTTAAAAACTCTGGGAAAGAACACCGTGATCAATTCTGAAAATTTGCATAAGAAAATAATTTTCTCATTACAAATTCGACTCCATATCGCCATGTTAGGCAATCACATGCTCATACTTCTCTGTGCAATTTTCAATTTTGTTTTAAATTAAATTTCTCTTAGTTGGATCCGATTTAAAACAAAAGTGTACGGTTATCTTTGTTCATATACAGTTTACAGCCTCGTCTACAAACTATAGTTTCCAGGGAAAGCGAAATTTTTCTTGAAGACTTCATTTGATGAAAGAAACCAAGGCAATATATTTTTCTATTCAAATTTGCTTTTTGGTGGTTTTATATGCAAAAGAACCTATAAGAGTCAGTGGACATCTTAGTGTTACACATAGAATTCAATGATGCTTGTTACTACCTTTTCACTATATTCAATAGTGATAATCAATGATCTGCATTTTCGTGGAGGTATAATAGCATGGGAGTCGGATTCGTCTGTAACAAATGACAGTTCAAGTATTACAGTGATTATCCATCAGCGTTATGCTTGGTCAAGTTCAATTGTTCCTTGCAATCAAACAAATATTTTTAATAGAGATTTGATCGGTCACTTCTTGGTTACACCTCTTGTATGCCTATCCTCTTCAAGTCAATGTAATGCAGCTAACTATAGTTCACAGCAGATCGCCAGTGAGGTATATTGCACGGATTTTAGTGTGGCGACAGACATCATTTGGCTATCGAAGTCAAATCTTATTATTACTCAATAGTACAGAATTGATTCTAGTATTCCGTAGTACCGAAAAGTGGCTTAGTCTTACCTATGGTTTAGCAAGCGCTAGTTGGAGTATGGCAATCTTCATCAATTTAGCGCCACGGGTTGGTATAGAAACCAATCATTCTCCAACATCAACAATGCCTTTAATGGTAAATGCACCTGTCAGAATTTGGACTATGATCGAAATTCCAATGAGTGATGCCGATTCAAATGCTGTAAACAAATGTCGTTGGGCCACATCGTCAGGTACACTCAATGGATTAAGTGTCGATGAATGTGCCGATGCATACAATATAAATGCGTTACCATCAACAGTTACACTACAAACATTCGTGACTAATCGATGCCAAGTGAATGTAAGTTTACCGTATGCAGGATATTATATAGTAGCGATTCAAATAGAAGATTTTCTTTCAATATTTTCAACAATTGCACTACGTTCAGTTACACTTCAATTTGTACTTTATGGATTCGATAGCTACAATACAGTTACAGCGTGTATGACGCCACCGATTATAACAAACATTTTACCTTGGTCAGCTGTTAATGGTGGAAACATTAAAATGTATTGGTTGGTGTTGTTATTGCCCGTACAGGTTGTGATAATGATACAAATACATATATTGCTAGTTTTATTATCGAGAGTCCATCTGGTATGCAAAAATCAAGTTTTCCTTATGCTTGGACAACGGTACCGTATTATGCAATGAATTTAACATGAACACCAGCAATCGATCAACTCGGTTCAACATTCTCATTTTTGTGCTACAGCCATTGGTGCGAATGGATATTCATCACAGTCATATCGTATCAATTTTCTTGTTGGTTCGGCGATGACGGAGACGACCTCTACTGCAGCGACATCGGCGACGACCACAACTACATTATCAAAATCGACATCGAATATATCTACAGATTTGCCCAGTTGATTTTCACGTTAATATTCTCAGTGATTATTTTTTTTCTCTCGTCTCAGCTATGACGGCGTCGTCCGATGATAATCGAATGTTGACTTTAGGTCTTGGACTGGGTGTACCATTGATTTTACTTCTAGGCTTATTTATCGCGTATGCTTGTTGCTGTTCAAGATGCTATTGTCTAGGGTGAATTTTTTAAAATTTATACCGAAGCGATTATACTTTCTTGAGAATGTAAACAATGAAGCAGAGCCCTTCGCTCGTTTAATTACATCGACATATTCATTACTGATCTTATGATATACTTAGAACAGTTCTAAGAAAATTTCAAAATTCCATTTAGATTTAGACGCAAAATTAGAACAGGCAAAAATGCCAAATGCGCAGCTTGTCAAACAATTGAAAGCATCAACGAAAAAGAGCAAGTTTTCGATCGTTCCATGCCTGATTATCATACGCAATATGTAAACCGAGATAGAACTCTTCAAAATGAAGTATCATTCAATACGGTACCTCGATCACCCCCCGAGTGCCCGATTTGCGTATGAATATTTCTCTCATATTGAATTGAATGATGCCAATGTGACAGCAAGATCATTTTTTCTGATTCAACTAAACGTCTTGCTACTGGTCCTGCGGAATATTTTGGAACTTCAAAACCATACCCAAATTCGTTCAATAGTGGTTCGATTCTTGCTCAAGTTTATTCCAAACAACAAATGCGCAGACTTACATAAAAGACAACAAGGAAAAACCCTATGTCTCAAAGGACGTTTCTTTTCTCTTACTAAAAACCAAGAACATTATTGTAAACAGTAATTTCAACCTATATAGTTTCCATAGCTAGACATTATTCTCTCATCTAAACCAGAAACATAGGAATAAAAAATGATGACAAAATGTCTGAACTCTAAGACGTTTTATTTGTCTAGTAGTTCATCTATGATTGTGAACCAGCTGAGTTTTTGGAAATCGAGAAGTCTGACCTCCAACATGAACTAATGAAGTGCACTTCCAAGTTATATTATAATCCCTTGGAATCTTTAAATTCAAGACCCAAGTGCTCGAATGACGTAAACGGTAGACAACGTAAACACCTAAAGAACAATAAATAAGACAGTAAATCCAATGAGATCTTGCATAAGAACTAATTCTGTTTGAAAGCGATTATTCATGCTCGGAAGAATTTTGGCAGATAAACACGAATAAGTATTTTTCTAGCAACGCTTACGATAAATTCTGGTATTGAGGAAATCTCATTCGTGTATCAGCATATGATTATTTCTCGAGAAGATCTATGTATGGTATTCAGGTCATTTTATCTGTTTTTTCCTTATTACAACGGGCTAGATTTTGAAATAGATTTTGTACTATCACTCTGTTACGATGGCAAGTATTCCAGCAACGAGTTTCTATCCTGAGAACTTTTAAAGACGAAATCAGTGTCTGTCACTTGAGACATATCTTTGATGTACTTTCTAATGATTTTACATGATTATTTGCGCCACAGCCACACATGCTATCGGCAAGAAGATCTGTATAATATGCAGACATTTAAAATACAATTTTTTTAATTTATAAAGCTCCATCCCAGGAATTTATTCTCCTATCACGGCAGAACTTCGACGAAAACATGTTTTCGCATATTTATTCGTATCTATCATGGATATCGAGAGTACAGCCAATGGAATTAATCAGCGATGCTTCGTCTCTTATTCGATTGAGAACAAGCACACACTCAATGATAGTGTTGATGATGGTACCGCCTCAACAGATGCACCCGATGTTTCGATACCTAGGATAGTACGTTGCTGGCTCTTAATTTTGTTCGAAGTACCGGGTCTAGGTTGCACTCACTTGCTTCTCTTTCATCTACTCGTGGATCGATCCACACGCAAAGAATTACACAATCATGTTGTTGTTTTATTTCTATTCGCGGCGTTATTCACACAACTCATCGACATTCCTGCTTATCTTGTTGTCACTTGGTCGGGTCAAGTTCGACCAGCAGTTGAAATTTGCTGTAAACTTTGGTGACTTGTCAATGCAGGTATATTTCTCATGACAAGCATTTTAAAGGCCTATGCGTAAATCGAATGGCACATTTTAGTATTTCATGATACACCCACAGAAAACGTATCCTGTTTCATTATATCCCGCTTACTGGACTTATTCTTTATGGTTTTATATTCTACACTACTATTATATTCTTTCCCAGTTATGAACAAACGTATTACTGCAGTCAACCTTGGTGTTCATATCCGTGCTATTTCGATCGGAAGGCACTTTCGATTTATGATCTCATGGAAAATTCTATCTTGTCAATTATCTTGACAATCGTGTTCACGATTGCACTACTGGCGCGCAGTATCTACCAAAAGCTTTGTTTTCGCCAGCGCTTATTCGATGACGTAAACATCGAAAAATGACGATTCAACTGCTTTCATTATATCTCTTTATCAATTTACCTGTACCGATCCTTATCTTTGCGCACTTATGTGGATTACCACCTGATGTTGACTTGGATGTTCAACTCTATAAATATTTTTTATGCTATTTTATTCCTCTTCTTTGCCTTAGGTTTGTCTAGGTTCATGGTCGGGAAGTGTGGGAAAAGAGAGGACTGATGCCCGCAAGCTGACGAATGAATATTTCACAACGCACAGTGACAATTATATCAAGCAGTGTCCCACGTTTGACTCTTACCATACCACAAATCGCTCAGCAGGTATGAACATTTCTAGTATGACTTCAGACAACTGTTCGGATGATTTTTGAATCGATATTCTACGATTAGTTTGTGCCGTGTATCTTTCAAGCCCTAGAAAAATTCGTAGTTTTCCTGCGAATTTTGCAATATCATGAGTGCTTTCGATGTTGTTATATATGCCAAGAACCTTGCTGGTTCTAGTCAATATTATTGTATGCGTGTGTAATCGTCGCAAAAATTCTTAGTCACATAATGATGATTAGTCTTTGAACTCCGACTAGTTTATCATAACTAAAAGTTTACTGTGTGAAGTACAGACTTGAACAGAACTACTCATTTTGATCAATGAACATCTAATTTTTGTTTTGAATGTTTTCATCGCATACTTGGTTGATTATAATTAGATACGAACTGACGTAATAGAATTCCTGATATTTCATTTCTTATTTATCTAGAGAGAGAAAAAACATGTTTCAATTAGAGGAAACAACTAATTTAAGAAGACACTGTAAATTGTGCCCTATTTCCGTAAACATCATTTCAAGATGTCAGTTAAAATTTGCGACAGTAAACATAATATGAACATTTCTATATATGTCACTATTATGCTGACAATCCATCTCAAAAGAATAATTTTTAATAAGAAAAAAATTCTCATTTGAATCATCACAAATATAAATATAGTTTTCTTTAAGCAAATCGTATGTTTCAAAGCGTGGAGAACATAAACATAACTTATTCTACTATAAGTCGAGCTTTGTAAGTCATCGATCGAAATAAGCGTCCTTATATCTTTCTACACTCACTGTTTTATCAACGGTTGCACAAGATATATTGAAATGCGAATATATAAAAAGGATGACCTTCGTCTCAAACGTTTCCTTGCTCTGGTTTTCTCTATAACATCGTTGATTTCTAAATTGATAAATACCAGCACTGGCGGCGGAGCCACTGAGACCGATGAGGCTTGAGCCTCACCTAGATTTCGCAAGATGAGGCTCAGCCTCACTTGTTTTTGTACTGAATATTGCTATTTTTTATTCTTGCATCAAAGAAGCAGCAAAGAAAAGTATTTTTTGGTATCTTCAAATCTATTTTTTTATACTGACCATTTTTATTTTTTCTGAAGTTCAATAAAAAGAAGACTTATTTTCTGATTGATGCTCACATAAAATTCCACGATAGAAAAAAAATTTATGAGCCTCACCTAGCTTAATGACGCTCCGCCGCCCCTGAATACCAGAGTACCTCGCAATTGCACGAGATATGTTCTTAAACTTTTTTATCTTTACTAGACAATACTAGGAAAAATAAATCATGGCGAAAATAGAAGACAAACGATTCAGAATACCATACCCGTGGGGTGCTAGCGTCAAAGATAATGAAAATTTCTTCATCTTTACATGAAAACCGCACTGCGTCATTGGTCATTATTTGATGATCGGTGCACAAGTAGAAATCCGGGTATTAATATGTGTGCAGAGCTTTATTATTAAGCCTTTTAAGCCTCGATTTCTAATCAAAATGATATAAAATTGACGCGCTAGGGGGTCATTGTTAAAATACACATATGTTATATACAAAAAAAGCACAGGCTTCACTTGTACCTTCTTGTTCACGACTAACTATAAGATTTTCAATTTATCAAAGCCATAAAAAATAAACTTTGCAAAAACAACCGATCATGAAATCGGAGAGGAAGTAAATTCTTGCACTTTGTCTTTCTCCATTATACATTGAATAGTTGTAGACATATCGCAATTTCATGTATTTTATAATTATTGGCGCACAATTCTGTAAAAAGAAAACCATAATTATCGTTGAATACTGAATATTATTGTTTGCTCGAATTTAAGTAATCATTATTTTTCTTCAAAGAAACTTTCTCGACGCATCTGCATATCAGAGTAAAAGAACGGGAAAATGAAACTAGAGAATAAATTGTCTTGGTGTAATCAATTCTTATCAACGCGTGCGTGTCTTAAAAAATGGCATCGTATTTCGATAGAAAAACTTTTTACGAGAGACTCTACGTTTTGTTAAACATGTTGGTTGCCATTGCCGATAATCAAACTGCTTCTATGTGTCACCGTCGCGTATTATTAAAAAGCGTATTCATTATTTTCTAGTAATTAAATATATTCAGTTCATTTTTCAATGCCAAACAACTTTTTTGCTCTATCCTACAGGTGTGAGAAATAAGACACGTCCTGTAAAAATTCCTGATCGAATATCACGGCGTAGATGGCAAAGAAAACATGAATTTGTTGGTTGAACAGCGGTACAATATTACATATAGTAAACACAAACCCTAAGCAAATGAATGGATTTCGAGGTCTTTTCAATATAAAATTCAACAAATAAATTTCGAACCATATTTCGTACTAGAAAATAATCAATTAAACCGTTGTTGAACATTTTGTAGCGTTGAAAAGAACAATTCATTTTACAATATCGTGTGATTCTGTTTGTTTTGCTTCATGTATAGTCATCGCTGGTCAATATACATGATTCATATGCTTAATACGTTTTTAATCGAATGCAAAAGGCTGTAGGCATTTGACTAAAGTTTCGAGCAGGAACAGATCTCTTGAGCGTGTTTGATATTCCTGCGATACGTGACCGTGAACTCGAACAATTCACTGGCAAAAAGAAAGTCACACAGACGAACTTTAACGTTTTGCATCTTAAAGAATTTCGGTTCATTGATACGATGAAAAGGTCTATGATTTTAACATGTAGTTTAGATTTAATTTCGATCGAATGCTTTGATATATTTACTACAACAATTCCTTTTTAGCACATCACTCGTTTCTCTTCGTTCGAGTGCAATACTATATCTACTCAAAGAAGTAGAAAGAGAAAAAATGTCAATATACAAAACGGTTCTCTTCTCTTTTACTGCTGATTCGCATGTAGGTGGATGCTTGAATAAAATTTCTCTCTCTCTCTCTCTCTCTACTCTCACGTATATTTATCTGAGACTTTAGTCATAACGGGTGGGCCATAAAGAATGTCACCTTTTGTATTATAGACTTTTCTTTCGCTGGTACTTGATTTTTTTTCAAAAGATTCCTTATTGGATTCGCTACGAAATTCGATAAGAGACTTTGCCGTCAAAAGTTACACTAGAGAATTCATTCAAGAAGATTGCAAGAAACAAAAGCACTAAAATTTCAAACAGATTTTTTTTGTTATCTAACAGGCATCTATTCGGGACAGAAACGACTTTTTCAAGGATGCTATTTGTTTGCATGGCCATCGTGGCTGTGCCGGGTAATATTTTAATGTAATAAAGTTAGATTTGTTGTTCAAGATGCGAGCAACAGATGAACCTTTCCAAGGGCTACGAAATGATATTAAGTACATCTATCTCTTGAGAAGAAGTAAGATCATGTGAAAATGTGCCTATTTACATGATTCTTCACGATGGTGTTTCAAAGCAAAATCTAACACAAAGTTTTGTGGAGAATTCAACAAGGAATCTTTTGAAAAAAAGAATCAAGTCTCAATGACAGAAAGTAAAGAAAATATCATCTACGTAGAAAAAGAGTCATTATTTATGCCCTTCCCGTATACGAGCTCATTCTCTTTTTTTCTCTTGACGTATCCGATATTCTTTATGGGGCTTTCATAGCGACAAACTGTTCGTTGACTAATGTTCTACAATCAGAATCTATTTACTTCATCTCATTGAAATCATATAAAGAAAAAGAAATTTGATCGTGCATTTGCATTCTTTCTCTTCTAACGGTTACCTTCACCCGTTGTCAGATCTCTATCTGTCATACAAAGATATGCGTTTATCAGGACGGATTGTGCTGCTTGTTACCATTGCTATAACAGCGATAGCAGCTCTCTTTTGTGTTATTGGCTTAGCGACGAAATCATGGGCTGGCTCGACCGGTATATTTGACTTGGATTACAAAGCACCAGCCGCTCTTTCTATTATTTCATTTATACTATTGATTGTATCTGTTGTCAGTCTTGTCTTGCAAATGTTCGATATTTTAAGTGGTACTCTTCAATTAGTACCAATCATTTTATTATTCGTTGCAACAATCTTTTTATTAGGAACATTTGTTTCCTACGTCCAACGTGCGCTGGGTTCGTCGTTTGATCTCATGGTAACGGCTCATTTCTTCTCGTATGTAGCTTTAGCTATTCTATCATTTTGGTTTGGTCAATCAAGTGCAGGAATGGGTGCTACAAGTTAATCGCAAATAGTCGAGCGACTATTATAAATAGATGAAAACACTATTAACAAAACAAAAGCTAATAATGACTCATACTGTTGTATTTTTTTTTATTCATGTAGTCATTATTCTTTATATGTTGCATGTATTCTAACAAAGATAATAAAAGATTACATTAAAATTTGTTTTTGGCAAAATCTTTAATCTGAATAAAGAACAGAAGATTACAAATTCGTTCGTTTTTCTTCGAAAGAGCGTTAGGAATGAATAGTGCTCGTACATTTGACATCATCTCAATGGTGACGATCATAACGAAGATTGCAGCTTAAGTTATTATAGCACAGGAAATCAACGGATTTTCAAAGAAGCTCTTCTACTATTAATAGAGATTCCTTTCATTTTACTGTATTTTCAGTATTGACATAATTTCATGAGCCAGCATTTGCAAATAAATAAAACTTTTTTAAACTAACGGCGAGAAAAAACTTTTCATTCATCATCTCGTTATTCATAGACGTAAAATTTTAAAAAGGCCCTATGTACTACAAGTATTCTTCCAGTTGTACGAAACTATGCCACCAACTGTGAAGCAGTTAGCTGAGTTGTAAAAAGAAAGGAAGGTTAGCGTGTTGGATAAACACATGAACCCGATGATTTTCCTGCACAACCGATAATAATCACGTATTTAAATCAATACTGAAGACTCTTTTCCGTTTGCTAACTGTCGTTTTTTGCTGAATGATAAATTGAATAACGAGCAAAACAAATGATGTATGTTATATAAAAATAGGCAGCACGTTTAGCCATAAATAACCAGTTTATCTTTCATAACATTTATTACCTAGTACAAATATTATACTAAGCAGATATTCTCAAGACAAAAAAGCACGTTCATCTTTGACAGAAGAAAATTGTCCTCTTTGAAAAGCTATTTGTTAACAATGTCTCACAACTTAGTTATTTTAACTGATATTCGTTTCAAATCGAGCGAATGAGGAAGTATTTCTTGAACACTTCATCAAGAACGAGTATCACAGTGGGGAAATTTTGAGATTGGCTAACAATTAAAATTTCAAGGCGTCTACGATACGAAGTGTTTTTTGCTTTAGAAACTGTGTCAAAAATTTTCTGATGCCGAAGGTTCAATGCAGTTTTAGGCGATCCAGCTAGACAACATTTTTTAATGTCAATTTCCGCTGGATCATGTAAAATCAAGAAAAGAAAGCCCTAAAAGATCGTGTTGTGATTAATACCATTCATAACATGACTCATTAAGAATCACAGAAAAACTTATCAATTTTTAATTCACCTGCCCGTCACTTTTTTCCTATTCAATCAATACTCATTCGATAATTGTGATCATATTTTATGCTCGACAAATAGTATTTAAAACTATCAGATATAGTAGCATGTCATCCGAGAGTATCGATATAGACTTCATTGGTTGTTTATTAATCGATAAAAATTAAAGTCAAACGATTTAACTCAAGCTTTTGAAGGAAGTCACTATTAAAGTATTTTAACAAAGAACAAAAATGTTTTTTTTTCATTTTCTATAGAATTCAGTTAGTTTTCTTTCATAAATTGATGACTAGACGTCACTTGATGAATGAAATAGAAAAAGAGATTGCATAAATTTTATATTCGCTACATAATTTATGCATATCAATAAATGTTTGCCTTCATGTTTTTTTCTGTTGATTTAATTCAATCAAACTTTATGATATAATCGAATAGACTTTTGTTTAGCTGTTTAAAAAAAACTGAATATATATATATATGTAACGACCAACAATGTATTGAAATAATATCTACAACTTGAAAATCTACTCATTTAGCGTTTAAAAAAGTAAACTATCGGTTAAGTGTTTCCTTTTTCTTCTTATGAACACATCCGCGCTACAATGTTGAAAATGTAAAGAAAATCGAAGAGTTTTATTATTTGAAAAGTGTCTTGGATAAATATATCAATGTTGATTATTCATTTGGAATTAATAATGTCTATGCATATCGGCGAGGTAGAATTCTTTTTCTAGATGTTAGACAGGAACGATGAAGTGTCATCTCGAGAATGTTTATTAAACGGGAAATCGATTTTCTTTTTTTTGTTGTTTTTCTTTATCGATCGCGAATAGTGTTATAGAAGAAGAAAATGCTGATCGAAGTTCACTACGGCGAAGCTTGTGTTTTACTTGTAAATGGAAACTGTCGAGTAAATCTTTGCTTCATTGGTTTTGTTTTGTTTTGCTAATTTAATTTTCTACCGACTAGCCAGTACATTTATTAAATTATATCCGAACTCATTGTTGTTTATCATCGACAGTAAAATTAGATTTATGTTTAATTAGTAATGGAGAACCATTACATCTTGCAACACCTGAATCGAATTTTTTCTCAACGGGACGACGTCGTTATCCAGCGCATATTCATTGTGTATTAACCGAAATTGATGGTAGACGATTTGTATTTTTTATAATGAACAAAAACAAAACCAAATCGTTTTAATTCTAGATGAAGGAACATATACTCCATTATTAAACGACGCAACTTTATTAACAAATGATTTTCTAGCGAAATTAAAAAAAGCAACTAGTTTAAAAACCACACCAAAACCAGTCCCGAAATCAGGAAAACCATCGACGAATCCGTCCGATGACGAAGCCAAACGACGTCGAAGTATTAAATCCGTAGTTATTGCTGCTGGTATGATGAACAAAATTAATCATTAAATATTTTATTAGCTTGATATTAGTGATCAATGCATTTCAATCGTTCATATTTGAAGAGACTAACGATCGGAATTATTTTTATTTTTTCCATTCAAAAGATACCATTCTCTTCAATCGATGATAATCAAAATGGCTGATAAATCCTTTTGAATTTTTATTTTAAACCGACAGTTTTCTGTTTCTAGGAAAATATAAATTGGAGAATCTCTTCTAGAAATACTCCCACGCAAACCTTTTGTCATTAAAAAAAATAATTTCCTAATAGAAACAATAGCTAAAAGAATAATCTGACTTATTCTTTATTTTTCTCGTGGATGGTCACGTTTTCTCTTCGAAAAATTCAAATCATATTAGAATAAGTAGCGGCAAACGAATAGCTTGAATTTAGCGTAATCATAAACTCTGATTTACGAAATCATTTTTGGATCTAATTATGTTTAAACAAATTAGCTGTTGATCTGTTTTAATAACAATCACTGTATCGGGCGCTAGTATATTACAAGTTATTTTATTTCGGAAAAAATCATTGCGTACATACATGGTACTATTTTCTCAACAGAATCATTGTTTGTAAATAGTTTACGTCTTCATGGTGTCACCAATAATGGGAATGATAGAAAATGTAACCCTATAAATTCGGTAAAAATAGTTCTGTTTTTATATAGATATCCACCTTCTTTATCAAAACGGAACGAAATTTAACTAACAATCAAAATAACATTTCACTTTACAAAATGCTTTTTATATAGAGATGTCATAACTAGAGACATGCCATTCCAGCCCCTATCGTGACCACCGGAAGCGAAAAAATGTGGTCCCACATATCTCGAGAACCAGGAGTGCTGTTGAAGATGGCCAAAAAGGTGATCCTGTCATGTTCTGAGAATTTCGATCGCGTCCTCTGAATAAAATGAGAGCTGCAGCGAAGTTTCTTGTTTCATCTCTGTGAAAACATGCTATTCAAGTATGACAACGACGGAGCGGTCAAAAAACATAAATAATTCATATCTGTAGTCTTAGCAGATGAGTTTCTTTGTAATGAAAGGCGAATGTCCAAGCGTGCGTCATATGCAGATACTAGAATACAATCTTTAGCTAGTAAATCTTTGTAGAATAAATATATTAGGGAAATTTCCAAAGCCCAACGGTTGCCTATTCTATAGTTTTTCCGACAGTCTCGACTTCTTAAGTATAAATTAAATTATAACTACCCAGGTCGAGCATTGTGACTTTACCAGAAACGGTCGTATACGGCCGTAACTTGACGTTTTGGCATGCACCGTATTACGACCGTAATTAATCGTGTCGTATACGGCCAATAGCGATCGTAATACGGCCGAAAAACGGCCATAATACGGTGCATACCACACGGCCATAAATTATGGTAAAACGGCCGTTTACGACCGTGTGGTTTTCACCTGGGTAGAGGAATTTTTAATCATAAAATCTATGCAGTTGCTATTTACAAAAGCCAGGTCTAATTATATTTGTCAGTCAATCTAATTGGTAGCAAGGACCAGTGTTTTATCTAGGTTTCATTTTTCGGGTGGGCGGTTGAAATTTTTGGAGGAGCTGCTGGCTAGAAAATTTCTTATTATATAGTACTTTTATGAAATCAACTGTATATTTTCTGGTGCGCGTCGCCCACTCAGCCTATACAGTAGATGAATCACTGGCAAGGACTCTGACAGTTACAACATTTTTCTTATCAGTATACATACGGATGAAGCGTTATTCCAAATCTTCACAGCCTTGTAATCGTGTAACAAAGGAAATTTATTCAACAACTACCATTTAATGATGAATATGATAAAAATGCATTGTGTCCATGATCGGCATAGCGAACCACTGTCAACGAACAAAATCATTATCGAGCCCTTTCGAAGCAACAATGAAAATAGAGCTCTCGCTTGTTGAAAAATGAACATTATTTGATCTTTTCATTCTATGAATTAGTCATCTATAATATGACATGTGAAAAGCTGTGCATTGCTAGGATAAAATTTGTATTAGAGCGTCTACACGAACTAATTTCAGATTATGACACTGATGATCAACGTGGAATAGCTTTTTTTCAAATTTATTCTGCTATTATGTGGTATGCGTTGTCATGTTTTGCATTGACAATCACACTTGGAAGTTTTTTTCTTGCAGAACTCTTTCCAAGATACGCGAAAAATGATACCCTATTCAGAGAAAAAGACAATATCGTTGTAATCATAATGTTGACTAGGATAGTAGAGATAAGAGAAACAAAAACACTCACGTCAGTCTATTTGTTGACAAATAAGAAAAGTCGAGGAGCAATAAAACTACACGGCTTGGAATAAAGAAGCCAATATACTTATTCATTTGGTTGCATGAGTTGCTAAAGTAAGATTGTGAAATTTATTTTGTTTATACGTAGTGAAACAACGAACTCAAATACACTGTTGCTTGTATAAAAACTATTTATTTTATATTTAAGAATTTTGAATGACTTGAAGCAGACTGATATTGAGAGATTGTAGGTGTATTGCTACTCTCAAGTTCTATCAAGATCCTTCGTGAGATTTAAAGTAGGCCTTGTATAAAAAATAATATTCTTACACACCAAGTGAAGGTATTCGTGATATAATTCGAGACAAAAGGATATTTGATAGAAATTGTTTTTTTCACATAGAATATCTTAAACTAATATTTTTATCGTTTGATTGCATTGTTTTTTAACTGAATTCCAAAGCAATTGAAGTTGAGATTCTTGTGTTACTCTATTATGATGGGCTAACAAAAACACATAAACTCATAAAATTGGCAAATGAAGAGATATCTGCATTTGAATATTTTTATTTCCTACTAATAAATACCAAAATATGTACCTTTCAAATAGTCAACATTAAAGCTGTAAATTCCTTCTCTAGCGAAAGTCATTCGAAAGATAGAAAGAGTCATGATCTTTGAAATTCAGACTATTTTTTTACGAGAAGAGCGACATGTTATAGATAGAAATATTTCAAGATGTCCAAAGTAGCTCCTGAATTAGTTCTCAATGCTGATCAACTACCCGATACAACCGATATCCCAAAAATTGAACCAACTCCATCTAAACCATTGCCAAAACCTTTAGCTGACTTCAAACAATATGTCGAGTCTAAATTTTGCTATCATGCCAAACCTGTGGAAAACGCTGAACTCATAAGTGTTGAACCAAAGATGGCTTTTCAGTGCCACATGAAAATACTCATAGAAGCAAGAAAGCTACGCACGGAAGTTACACCTTATCGCTGGCACACCGAAACGGTTCTAGGAAGCCGTACATTAGGTAAACTGCACTGTCAGATATATCTTAGTATAATAGGTATTCGGTGAATTCTTTATTGTTTTCTACTAGAGAGTATGCCGATGTGAATGTGCAAGATTCACATGGATAGAGAGTGGTCTATGCTTTACAGTTGAATCGAAAGTTAGATAACATACTATTAGAAAATAGCGTCTATAGCCATATCGAGTTATGCAAATACGTAAGAGTCCGTTTTTTTCTGAAATGTGATGGTAACCTGATTAGGGGTGTTACTTTATCTTTATTAATCTTTATATTTAGAAAATAAAAGTTAAAATAAAGAATAAAGAAAGATTTTCTTCAGTTATTGGTAAATAGATAAATAGTTTGCATAACAACAGAAAACGTTGATTGCAGTTCTTGCTTATCATCACTGACATTGCAGTTCTTGCTTATCATCACTGACATTGCAGTATGAAATAATACTCGCAAATGATGGTGAGGCATAAATCATTTTTGAAAAAAAATCTAGTGTTCAAAATTGTTTAGCCCTGAATTTCTTAATTTTCTTCGAGATATCCGCGGAAGACCAAATTTTGGATTTTTAAGGAAAAATATTTTTCTTTATTCTTTATTTTATCGTTATTAAATAAATATAAAGCTACTTTTTCTTTATCTTTATTTTATAAATATAAAGTAACGCCCCTAACCTTGATGATCAACGAAACAGTTCACTTTTCTGGCAACTAATTACAAGTTTTAGATTACGAGGGATATTGAGTGCATGTTTATGTACAATCTAGAATGCTCCTATTATATGACAAATGTTAGCCCGATAGAGGTCACCGTGAAAAAATTTACAGCAAAAGAAGAACAGTTCTAACAGCGTCTTTGTATGCTCCAATTAGATCAAAGATATTTATCTCTTCTTTTTTTTTAAACAAATCGATCGAAATTTACTTTGATTAACATGATAACCTTTTTGCTTTTACGAAGGACGGTTCTTCGAAGAAACTGAACTTCGCGGTGAAGCAATTGGACATATTTGGAATGATTACCAAGTCGATTTACCATCTACTGAAAAATCTAAACAAACCTTAGCTTTAGTCGAAAGCATATCATATTTAAGATGCTCGCGTTGTCGAGGAAAATGTATTGTTTCATGCACACATTGTAGTAGCGGATTAGTCGCGTATGTTTGTTCAAGTTTTCTAGTGAATATTTGAATCATCTGGGATGTTTTTGTAGAAGTGGAACAAAACTCTGTAGTTATTGTAAAGGTGCCGGTAAAGTGACCTGTTCAAGATGCAAGGGTTTGGGAGGCTTTCGTCATACACCAACATTAACTGTTAAATGGCATACTCAATATTCGACATGGTTTTATCAAAACTCCTTTTTACATGTAAAAAGAATTCGCAAGGGACAAAGAACACAAGTGTGGTCAGTGAAACATGAACCATGGTCAAAACAATCATCAATAGAAAACGTTGTTCAGTCGATACAGGAAGAAACTCCCGATATTCCTCTGAAGGAGAATATTATCAAGGATTACTATGAAAAACAACTTAATCCAGTGAAAACTAAGAACAATGCAATGCGGCGCTTAGAATGTTCTATAGAACGAATGAATTTTGAAGAGGTTCGTTATAAAATGGGTGAGAACTATCAAAACAAGAAAGATCCCACATTAGGTATGAATATAGGCCTAAGGAATTTTGATCACACTTTTCTGAATTTTCACTATTGTAGAAAGCACATTTCGATTCTGTCAATATCCTGGACCTGAAGGGAAAACTGTGATCTATGAAAATGATTATCCACTCAACTGTTGTGGTTGCTTTGGAGAGAAAGCAGCTTGCTATTCGTCGTGTTGTACTATTCTATAAAAAGATGTGACTGTATTTGGATACACATCATGTTGAAGCTCATTTAATTCCATATTATTAACTGTGATTTTTGTAATGACTTCTTTTTTAGCTAACATTAGTATCTATTTCAAGATTCAATGAGTCTAGCGATGATAGTTGCAGCTTTCCTACGTCAAGATCGGTACTGACATGCTCTGAAAATCTTACTAAAACTCAATTTCCTTTTTTGTGACTAAAGCGAAGACGATCTTCTGATATCATTGAAAAATATATCTGTGCCAAAGCCAAATAAAGAGTACTACCTAGAACACCAAGTTTTGGCATTCAAACCTATCGTTTCGTTGAACTAACGAGGGAACGTTTTCAACTGTCCAATCGCTTTTGAGTTCGAACTTTATGCAACAGATAGACCCCAATATAGTATGAAAAAATCCAAAAGATTAAGTGCCTATAGGTCTTCTGTCGAAAGCTAAAGGCATTTTATTGGAATTTTAGCCTATTACACGGTATATACCAAGAAATCGAATGATAGTATTTCGACCTGAGATTTTGCCCAGAGGCAGGTCTATTAATGAGTAGAATATCCTGAAAATTTCAGTCGAAAAGGGCGTTTCCTTCCTGAGATATCTAGGTCCTAAATGAACAGAAAATTCTATCATATTTTAGACAATATGAGTCATTTTTGGGACTTAAATACCTCAGGAAGGAAACGCCCTTTTCGACTGAAATTTTCAGGATATTCTACTCACTAATAGACCTGCCTCTGGGGAAAATCTCAGGTCGAAATACTATCATTCGATTTTTTGGTATATACCGTGTAATAGGCGAAAATTCCAATAAAATGCCTTTAGCTTTCGACAGAAGACCTATGGGCACTTAATCTGTTGGGTTTTTTCATACTACATTGAGGTCTATCTGTTGCACAAAGTTCGAACTCAAAAGTGATTGGACAGTTGAAAACGTTCCCTCGTAAGTTCATGAAGGATTCTGAAGTTTTTAAAAATGATTCGTTCTTGATCTCGAAAATATAGATGGCGATGCTGAAAGCAATATATGTTACAAAGCATGGTCAAAATGTTGACGATTTCTTAACAGTAATTTTATCTTCTAAAACGTTTCCTTTTAATATTTCCATCCAATTCATGTCAAAATCTGGCACAACACCAAGGACTATGAATTAATCGAAGCTAAAAAGAGAAAGCAGGTGCCACACTCTTTCAATCCAATCGATTGACAAAAGAAGATGATAGTTATCAGTTATTGAAACTTTCCATCGCTTTGCTCTTCACCTTATAAAATAAGTTGGTTAAATGATCGTAACTGATGAATACTCACTATCTACATTTTCGAGTTAGCCTCTATCGGAGAGTAAGAGAGAGAGAGAGAGAAAAAAAAAATAAAACGAAGGCCCTGGATTGTTAGACTATTAGCTTTTATTTCATGTTTTTTTCTAAAGTTCCAAATATAAAAAATTACATCTAGACAATCAAAAAAAAATCGCTCATCAAATTCATATGTCAGGCCGATATTTTTGTAGGTACTTGCAATAAGAGTATGTTGAGCAGGATGCTTCTTCTTAATCACAAGCACTATCATCATAGATGATAAATTGGAAAATATTGATATCATCACTTTGAAAAGTAATTTAACCGGTGAGTTATAATTTCTATAATAATAAAATCAAATAATGTATTTTACATAGTTTAATCTCAAGATTTCGAAAGAAAATGCTAGCTTGCAAAAAGTCAATTGCTTCATCAATGATATATTCGTTCTAGGTAGATATAAATATTAAAAATGCAACAAAAACGAATAAAAGAAGATTCTTTACAAATCCAAGAATGCTGCACCCGAGCATTTGCTCGCGCGACACTTGCTCTCCAGCAACAGTTACTGCTCGGACAGGTTCTGTCTGGTGGCATTTACTCCAGGGATATTTGCTCTTCATCAATACCGGCTACCTCTTTTATGGCCTACAATAACAATGTATAAATTTATTAAATTAAGATATGAAACGCAATAATAGACAATAAATACTTTATGAATTGTCCAAATAACGGAAATATCATCTAATTAAAAATGATACCAGCAGAGAAAGCATAGAATAATACTTACTCCAGTAACAAAAAATTTAATGGCGAATCAAGCTTTTCGAAATTTTGTGGGCATGGAAGTGGGGGCAATGAGATCTACCCGCACATTGCCACCTTATTCCATACACCCTATGTGTAACACCTGATGAATTGCATTGTTAATCTTTTTTCTTCTTCAGCTACGACCATATGAGTCAGGTGTCGCCACCGGTTATTCATTCATGTAGTCAATTGGCGATTCTAGCTATGCTTTCTTTCTTCAGGCAACACATTACAAATTTGTCCGTGTATTAAAAAGAGAACGCTTATATCTGCTCATCATAGCCTATTACAACGGCATGAATATTCATCCTTCATTGTTCTCTTACACGGCAATGAGAAAAAAAGATATACATATATAAATTAACACGATTGAACTGAATGAATCCGACATGAACATTTCAAATAATAACGATCTCAATGTACTTGATTTGCCTAATGAAATTTTACTCAAAATTTTTAACAAATTACCTATGACCGATGTTCTTTATTCACTCTTGAATGCTACCCAACGGTTTGATCAATTAGTGCTTGATCCACTTTATATTCGCAAGCTTGATATGACCTCTATGACAATGAAATCATTTCATGATCGTATCTACTCCATTGATGATCTAGTTCTTGATAAAATTTGTAAAAATGTATTACCTCGAATTAATCATCAAGTTCATGAACTCATTGTTGAACAACATTCAATGAAACGTGTTCTTCATACTATCAATTATCCTCAACTTCACTCGTTATCACTCGTAGATTTTCAAGATGAAGTATTTCTCGAGTACTTAACAGGTAAACGATTTTAATTTCTTTATTTAAATTGATAATTATTTTCCTTTTTCGTCTCTGAATTGAAGGTGATGCAACTCTTCGCACGCTTCTTTCTGAACAGATTACACATCTTAAAATTGATCTTAATGACAAAACACCACCACTTCCTGAAACTCTTGCGATGATTTTTGCTCTGATCTTATCGTTATGTAACCAAATAGTCGAGGTAAATTTCTGTTATTTCTTTCATCGGTCGATGATTTGCACGTTCGAGTTATCATCAACCGATTGCGTGTCTTCAACTTTGACTTCGTTAAAAATTAATGTGAAAACTTTCGATGATTGTCTTTATTTACTTGATGGGCGTCTCAATTATTTATTAACATTGTTTATAGATGTGAAAGAGATAGTATATACATTAGGAGCTGTCGACAACACGGTTAGTATAACTGTTGTGTTTCAAGAGATAAATAACACCATTTCATTTTTGTTATTCATAGAAAAAAGTTCCAAACTTAAAAAACTTCTCATTACGCTCGTTTCCACGTACATATTTTTATGATGATCTAATCATTCCATTGCTTCGTCGAATGACCAATCTCGAAGAACTGATATTGAATTTGTCAATAATAAGAGTTGATTCGAATTATATTGATGGCCTTCAATTATACGATGATATTCTTATATATATGCCACGATTGAACAAATTCATTTTTAGCATTGACACAAGCGTAGTCGAGAAGAATATTAAAATTGCTCTTTCATCGAATGAGGACATTCAGCGTAGCTTCATGAGAAGAGAATATGGACCAGTTGGCTCACATGTTGATATTTTCTCAAGAGAAAATGGATGTAGAGGTCATATGTATTCTCTTCCATATGAATTTAAAAGTAGATGCCACATCTATTCACTTCCGTATCAATTTAAAAACTATTCCTATTTAAACAATGATTTTCAAGGAGGCATTTTTGATAATGTTCAATATTTGATGATGACGGACTTTCGTCCTTTTGAGCGTAATTTCTTCAAAATCATCTCTCAAAGTTTTCCTCTGTTGCAACATTTATATATATTTAATGACGAGCCACAGAAAGACAAGCAACAATCGACAACATCTATAATATTTTCTCATCTTATTTATCTTTATCTTGATTCTGCTCATGTAGATTATGCTGAACAATTTCTCTCTGACAAACAATGTCATTTACCTTGTTTGCTGAATCTTAGTATCAGCTATGAATCACTTGCAATGGTCACAAACAGTTTCACCAATGATGCAACACGTCGCACATCTAGTAAATTGACCAGCCTTCGTCTAAAAGGGCCGTTTGTTACCCCAGAAAATTTTCATCTATATTTTCCTTCACTGTAAATATTATGTTTGTTAAAACCTGTGCCAATAAAATTAAATACTAAATGAAAATATTGATTATATTTCAATCGGATAAAATGAAATGAACATAATAAGTGTATTGATAAGTAATAGTTTGGCTGTGGTAAAAGACATGTCAAACACACCCTTTACTTTCTGTCCACAATAAACGATTAGACAGAACTTTTTTTTTCACGAAGCCAAGAAAAAAATATTAAACGTGAAAACGAAACATCTATTCTCTCATTTCACTGTACACATTGATCTGTTCTTCTATTCTATCAACAATATAAAGCTGTAATTACGTAAGCCATCTTTCATCCATTTGGTTTTCCCCACCTATTAAAACAGTAGCATATTTCAGTTAAAATATCAATTCTCCATCGATGCACATATACCTACACGAATTTTCGTTTCACTTATTTTGTGGAACTCACATATATTTTCGAAGAAAATAGTGAGTGTAAGTTGAATTGTTAGGTTTTTGCGGCTCTCCTGTACCCCACCCCCCCCCTCTCCATTACAGACA